GACCCCCAACCCTGGCCCATTTCACCACCACCCCCCCACCTGTTCCCACATTCTTCCCCTGCCAAGTCCCAGACACTTTACATTGGGTCCCTGGGAAGTGACCCTATCTCTGGCTCTTTTGGTACAAAACCATGGCCACTTTCATAAACAGCAACCATTTGTAAATTCAATATTTACTCAAGGGCAATTCCTTGCCAAGCCCGGTGCCAGTGCCAGGAATACAAACTGAAGCACAAATGCGGCCCCTCCCTGCTTATTTCCAAAGTTTGATCTAACATTTCCTTAAATATTTACTTTTTTTCTGACCCAGAGGGTCTCATCATGTGGCAGCACATGTGTGTTCTAGAGCTGAGAGCAAAGCCTGCTTTCACACCTGCAGCCCAGGGCCCTCCTGAGCCTGAGTTCTCGCCTTTGCAGGGACAGCAACAGGAGCTGACTGCCGTAAAGAGCAGCAGATGGGCCGGGTGGAGGTGGTGCACACTTTTCATCCCAGCACTCAGGAGGCAGAGGAGGGTGGATTCTGTGAGTTCTAGGCCAGCCTGGTCTACAGAGCGAGTTCCAGGACAGCCAAAGATACACAGAGAAACTCTGTCTCGGGGAAAACAAAAGAAAACAAAACAAAAACCAGTAGATGGGAAAATTTGGGAAATAGTCCTCAGGCCAGGGCTAGATAGGTAGTAAGGGTTGGCATCTATTAGACCAGGCACTTTGGTGACTCAGCTTGACCCACCATAAGCATGATTGCAGCCCGGCCACCTTGCAGCTCAAGCATGTTAAATGGACACAAAAAGAAAAAGAAAACAAACAAAAAACACTGGCTGCCAAAGACATCTCCAGGCCCTGACCTTTCTTTTGTTTTTTGTTTTTTTTTTTTCGAGACAGGGTTTCTCTGTATTGCTTTGGAGGCTGTCCTGGAACTCGCTCTGTAGACCAGGCTGGCCTCAAACTCACAGAGATCTACCTGCCTCTGCCTCCCTAGTGCTGGGATTAAAGGCATGAGCCACCAACGCCCGACTTAGTGACCTTTCTATGAGGTTCTGGTAACCAGTGGGGAGATAGTTCATACAGTCTACGGTACTTTGTTTTGTTTTGGCAGGGTCTTACTCTGTATCCCAGGTTAGCCCAGCATTCACCGTTGACAGAGATGATCTTCTCGGGCAGGGTATCTATCAGAGGCCCTTCTCCTCCTCCTCCTCCCCAGTCTCCACCCACCCCCTCTTTCTGAGCTCGCCTCACCAGCCCAGGCTGGCTCTGTGTTAGTACTCAGGCATCTGTACTGGCCAGTGCTTGGGGTTCTGACAGGACACACCCTCAGCTGCAGCCACTAAGAGCACCACCTGCACATGTTCACTTCGTTCCCTTTTAAAAGGGCCCCGCCCACCTCCCCCATAGCCCCTCCCTTTCTCTCTCTGCTTGTCTCTCTGTCCTACCACCCACCCCATTTTCTCTTCTGCTCTCCCTTTCCCATTCCCTTCCCCCGGTTAAAAAAAAAAAAACTCTCTACGTGAGCTCTGTCTCATGGTGTCTTCCTCGTGTCGCCTTTTAAGTTACAATACTTTGAGTCCAGCAGTGCAGGCTAGTTTAGTCTTGAGTCTCCTGCCTCTATAGCCCACGGGCGGAGATTACTCCCCCCTTCTTTTCTTTTGCCACTTGCTTACAGCAAATGCACTTTTAAATGAATAAATTGGCCAACGTCTCCCTTCATCCTTACTCACACAGGTGTTCCCTGCCCACTCAGGAAATCACCTTGCCTTATCCCACAACACAGTTTCTCAATCTTCCTAACCCTGCAACCTCATGTTGTGGGGACTCCCACCCATAAAATTGTTTCATTGCTACTTCATAACTGTAAGGATTCAGGCATTATGATGGCCTGTCCCTGTCACCTGGCAGAATGCACTCTGGCAGTACCCTGGTCAGTCCAGGTGCAAAGAACCCCTTTAAAAGAAAGACCCCTGCCCACTTATGTTCTCTTTCCCCCTCTTTCCTGCTGTTCCCCTGTCTCCCTCTTCTCTTTCCTTCCCTCTCCCTCCCCTTTCCAATAAAATTTCTCACTTAAGCTCTGTCTGCCTTGCACGTTTGTCCCTCCGCCTCGGTCAACCTCGCCCGCCATGGAATCTGCCAATGTCCCCCACGTGCTTTATTCCTAACAATAACTACAACTTTGCTACTGTTACAAATCATAATGCTAATATTTTTTGGAGCTAGGGTCTTGACAAAGGGGTCCCGACCCACAGGTTGAGAACCACTGCCTAGAAGGCGTTCCCTCCAGTCTACTGGTGGACTGTACGTGGTGAAGTGTTCAGAGGCAAGGCTTGATTAGTGCTGTTTTAATATACTTTGTATTACAAAGAAGGCAGGCCGAGTTCCCCCTTGCAGCACAGTCTTTTTTTTTTTTTTTTTGGTTTTTTTTCGAGACAGGGTTTCTCTGTAGCTTTGGAGGCTGTCCTGGGCAGCACAGTCTTTGAGATTCAGGATTCAGAGACCCAGCCTGTGCACCTGTAGGCTAGTCCTTCCTATGGCTGGGACAGGGGTGTCCATTTTTAAGTGCTGCCTATGTGAAGTCTCTCAGTAGCTTCTACAAAGGGCCTGTGGATGTTTCCAGTTAATTCCCATCTAGCTACACTTTCTATACTGAAGGAGCCAACAGTGTAGCAATTGAGAAAACTCCATGGGACTGCAGAGTGGCTCAGTGGTTAAGAGCACTAGCTGCTCTTGCAGAGGATCCGGATTCAATTCCAATCACCCACATGGTGACTCACAACTGTCTATGATCCTAGCAGATCAGATACCCTCTTCTGACTTCAGGCACCAGGTAAGCACATGTACACAGACATGCAGGCAAAATACTCATCCATGTAAAATCACAATGAATCTAAAGGAAAATTCTGTGTAGGGAGATCTTCTCTAGTTCCCTTCCTGCCCATCAATTCGCCTTGATTCCTAGGTGTTAGGTTAAGGGGTGAAAAATGAAGACCCCAGTTTAAGGCACCCAAAGCTCCCAGTCTCCCCACTAGTTCACTCTCTCCCGCCCTCCCTCTCTCTGTTTAGGGATTTTTGTTGTTTTGTTTGTTTGTTTTTCGAGACAGGGTTTCTCTGTATCTTTGGAGTCTGTCCTGGAACTCGCTCCGTATACTAGGCTGGCCTTGAGCTTGGAGATCCGCCTATCTCTACCTCCCAAGTGCTGAGATTAAAGGTGTGCCACCACTGCCCGGGCTAGTTCACTCTTTTAAATACAAACCCCAAGTTTATCAGCACTTATATAAGAAAAGGCTGATATCAGTGCTCTGCCACTGAGCCCCACCTGGGAAGGAGTTTATCACCATTGTGCTATAGGCTCAGTCAAAGCTCATATACAGTTGTAATAAATGTTCAAGATCACGGTGAGGCCAGAGGAGCACCCCATTTTGTCCTCACAAGAACCCTGCGATGTGGGTGGGATTGTTACCCCATTTTGCGGCTGTGGCTACCAAGGCCCAGGCTTCCCCCTGCACATATGTCCAGCTTTGTTCCAGGCTGAACTTTTTACTTAGGTCTTTGTCTCCACCTTCCAACTCATGAGCATCCTACGGGGAGGGGATCTAGAATGTTGTTATCTGGGCCTGGAGAACTCAGGAAGCATCTGCTGGATGCATGGGGGATCCACTAACAGAGGCATGGCTAGCAGTTACATCTGAGGTGGATTTGTACACCCTTTGTTATTTTTTTTTCTCTTGTGACGGGTTCTCCTATAACCCGGGCTGACTTCAAACTCACTCTGTAGTCGATAATCAGCTTGATGTTCTGAGCCTCTTGCCTCCACCTCCTGAGTGCTGGAATTGCAAAAGCTCACACCACCCACACCTGGGTTATGCACTGCTGGGGATTCGGACCCAGGGCTTCATGTATGGTAGGCAAGAACTCTACCAACTGAGCTCACCCCCAGTCTCACCCCCTACCAACTGAGCTCACCCCCAGTCTCACCCCCTACCAACTGAGCTCACCCCCAGTCTCACCCCCTACCAACTGAGCTCACCCCCAACAGCACCCCCTATCAACTGAGCTCACCCTCGGTCTCGGACTCTTTTGTTTCTGAAGCGTTGGTCCTCTTGCCTCTACTTCCCAAGTGTTGGGATTAAGTGTTGCTAGCATCATACCTGGTTTACACATTCATTACTATTACTAGTGCATAGAACTGGTGAGGATGAGGTATGGACCCAGATAGAGGCATGAAGCCATACATCCTTGGTGTTGGAGTGAGTTACCTTTCTAGACCTTAAATGTTCTCCAAGTCAACAGGGAAATACTGAAATGTAGAAAACTAGTTTCACTGACAAAAGTGTCCATTTCAGTCCCTGAAATCGACATATGGGTAAAATATGGCTCCTTCGGAAGCTCCGCCCATAGATCTGTTCTCAGGGAAGCAGAAGTTACCTAAAGTCTTCATCACCTACCCATTCACCTACGCCAGGGTCCTTCCTAGGACAAGAGGCAAGAGGCTCCAGGAAGATGAACCCATCTTCACTCAACCAGTGTTGATTAGACAAGAAGCTGAGGACACGACCCCATCCAGATAGGACCCAAGAAACTTGAAGAGAAACATCCCCCTGGGATGCCCAGGCCCTGCAGGTGCCCTTGGAAGCAAGCCCAGTGTCTGCAGAAGCAACCTCAAGGCCACACTGGCAGCTCCTTGGAGCAAGTGGCCCTAGTAACTGCCAAAGACGTATCTTGGAGCACGATACAGACAAAGCCCAGAACTGCTGCTTCCAAGTCCTGGTGTCCCTGGCAGCAGGATTTGTAATAAAGCCACCCTCTAATGCCCAGCAGTTTCTAGAGTTCCCTCCAGGCACTGCCCTGGAGCTAGCCTGTATTCTCAAAAAGAAAACTTAAAAGCAGCTGAGTGTACTAGCCAAGAAAGATAAGTCAAACACAGTGTTCACTGAGACAGGGTTTAGCAATGAAATTGGCAGGTAGCCAGCACAGACTCCCACACAAGCTCATAAAAACAAAGAACCAAGCAAGGCCACAGGCCTTAACAGTGCTCTTGCTGGTTGTACATTAGGGTGCTCACTTGTAAACCAGTCAATGGCACCCATTCCTATAGCAAACATGCACTATTATTGTGATTTCAAAAAACGTGGTAAAGAAAAAGGCAGCCACCAGAGAGAACCCCCAACCCACACTCCAAACTGAATCAAGGTTGGGCACATGTTAGGACCTGAGACTCTGTGCCCTGACTCCAGGTGAACAAGAGCAGCGAAGCTATTGATCCGGTGCCTCCTCTTGGGTTCATTTCGATTCTTTTTGATGTTCCGATCCTACAAGCTCAAGGTCAGCCTGGGCCAATTAGTAAGACCCTGTCTCAAAATAGATGGGGGCTGAAGGGCCGAGGGTGTAAGATAGGTGGGTGGTATGCTTGTCTGGCTCGTGCAAATCCAAAGTGGGAGTAGCTGAAGCAAGAAGTCAGCGAATTGCAGGTTAGCCTGGCAACAAAGTGAGATCTTGTCTCAAAATAACATACCAGAACTTCCCTGACTACCTTCCCATTTTACAGAAAGGGGCAGCCAAGTCCCACTTGTTGCACAGACTTTACCAAACCTCAAAAAGCTAAGACAACACTCCAAAGTCCTGGTTGGGTAATAATGGCCACGGGGGGGGGGGAAAGGGGTACATCCTGACTCAGCTTTTCCTTCTGAACCCTGGCCCAGGTCTGTGGGAGACGAGTAGGAAAGACGCCTGGGCCTTCTGGGTGAACCCAGGACCACGCGGGCGGGGAGCCGGCTCTGCAACACCCACCGCGGCTGCACGACGGTCCCGGGCAGGAAGGATACACGGTGAGGACATATGGGCAAGGGAAGGCACGTGGAAAGACAGCCAGGCGGGGAAACTGAGGCCACGTCGCCCGCTCCGTCCAGTCTAGGGGCCTGCAGAGACGATCACGAGTCTCACCTGGTTGCAGAAGACCTCAGGCTGCTGGTTGGGGGCCGGCACGGCGCTGGTGGCGGCGGCGGACAGCAGGCGGGTCAGGCGCGGCCCGCGGAGGGCAGTGGTGAGTGCGGCGCGCAGCATACTGAACTGAGCGGAGCTGAGCTGAGCCAAACAGACGAGCCGAACCGAGGGGAGCCTACACCGGCCCGGGCGAATGCAGCGCAGTAGGCCGACTTCCTCGCCTCCACCCCCCACCCACCCCTGGCGCCAATGGGCGGTGGCGACACGAGGGCGGGGCTAGAGAGCCTCAGCCCCCAATGGCCTGCGGGGCGCGACCCTGGCTTTGCAAGCCGAGTCAGAGGTGGAGCCGTGCATAACAACGGAGCGGCCTGAGAAAGCCTTGCCAGCTCCCAAAGCCGTCCCCGGCTCCCTTCTGTGCAGACCCAGCGAGGAAGAGAGAATTTCACGAACTCGGTTGTTTCCGTGAACAACCTGGGACTGGGCTCTGGGGGTGCAGGAGGCCATTGGTTAGGAAAGGACGCGGATGCCTAGCCACCCGTGTCTTTCAACCAGATGGAGGCAGCAGTAGGCTAAGGACGGTGGGGAGCCTGGCAGGGGCTCTGGATTGTGCAAGGGGAAGTGTTTTGAAACAGGAGCCCAAGAAATGGGGAAACCCTTGGAAGCTCAGGTACCGACCCTTCCGTACCCCCAGGAAGGAGACTGCAGTTTATAGGCTTCCCCCTACTCTGATGACTCGCAGTATATTGTCCCCGGCGCTGTAAGAGAAACCCCAGTGACTAGATGGGGGCCTGGGCAAGTTTCCTTGTGTGTCTCCGATTTTAGTACTGGACAGCTAATATTGTTGCAGAGCCCTGCACGGTCAGTGCAAAACAGGAGGGAAAAGCATTTAAAGACCGTACTGGCTGGGTCACATGATCATCCTTCGGAGCAAAGGAATCTGGGGAACTGAGAGCACAGTTAGGAGAAATTGTAAGGAAGCCGCTTAGCAGAAATTGAGATTCCTCGGAGGTGGGGGTGGTGTGCACTTACAGAAAGCAAAAGATGTGCTCACATTTCATGTCTCCCTGCAAACTGCGCAGCTCTGTGTTAGCCAATCAGGTCAGAATGTGAGGCCGGTTCTGACCCCTCGGAGGGAGACACAGAACACCTTTGTTTTATGTCAGGAATCTGGGTCCAGGCCTTTAATCCCAGCCCTCGGAGGCAGAAGCAAGCAGATCTCTGATAGTTCAAGGGCAGCCTGGTGGTCTACATACCAGTTCTAGTCAGCTATGATTATAGTGAGACCCTTAAAAAAATCATCAGGGCCTCTCTGGATGTGGCTGCTTGCTCAGCATTTCGAGGAAACCTGCTTCTGCTGATGTAAACAATTTTGCTTTGCAAAAGTGTTTTGGATCGTATGGAAGATCTTGAATTTCCAGACCCATGGTGGTGGTGGTGGTGGTGGTGGTGGTGGTGGAGGCCTTTACTTGGGAGGCAGAGGCAGGCAGATCTCTGAGTTCAAGGCCAGCCTGGTCTACAGATGGAGCTCCAGGACAGGCAGGGCTTCGAGGTTTCCTATACTCAGGGTACCACCCAGTGTCTCAGTTCATTTCCTGTTGCCTACAAGATGTAGCCCTCTCAGCTGCAGCACCACCTCTGCAGCCAAGCTGCCTGCCACGACTGTAAATGACCGCACCCCTGAAACTGTGAGTGCCCTCAATTAAATGTTCTCTTTATAAGAGCTGCCATGGTCAAGGTGTCTCTTCACAGTAATAAAAACCTAAACTAAGAAGTTCTGTGTGTTTTTTTTGTTTTTGTTTTTTAAATATGGAACGCTTCATGAATTTGCGTGTCATCCTTGCGCAGGGGCCATGCTAATCTTCTCTGTATCGTTCCAATTTTAGTATATGTGCTGCCCAAGCGAGCACGTTCTGTGTGTTTTTGTTTTGAGACAAGGTCTCATTGTTTAGACCAGGCTGGCTTCAAAATCAGAGATCTCAGTGTGCCACTACACCCAGTGCTGTGTATGTGTGAACATTCACACACACACACACACACACACACACACACTCGAGCATGCTCGTGAAAAGGTAGTAAACACTGCCCATCAGTGTGGTGTCCTTTCTGTCACTTATCATTTCTTACTGGCAAATGTCCTTAAGTAGATAGACCACCCGTTTACTTATCTGTTTACATACCTACATACCAGTGACACCAATTTACTGATTTCCAGTCTTTTAACCTTTTTGTGTGATTCCTTCTTTGAGATAGGGTCCTTCTGCCCCTTCTCTGCAGAGCTGGGATTATGTGCTGAGGATAAAGCCCAGGGCTTTCATGGATGCTGGGGAGGTACTCTATCCTTGGAGCCACACACCCAACCCTATTTTGTTTTTTCACATGGACAACGTGGCTTTACTAGAGAAAGCCAGGCCTACGTAGGAATTAGGAGTAAGCATTTGGCCTTTCTTCTTGCTAAAGGTGGGCATGTTATCATTGCTTTAGCTTGAGTTACACTGCACCCAATTGGCCTGGAGTCTTTTTGCCACAGGTCACTTTGGAAGTAGGACATCCTCTTCTTCCAGCTCGTGCCTGAGAATCATGGACTTACTTTTAGAATGTGGTCAGCTACTTCCAGCATGGTCAGGACCTGGCAGAAGAACAACCTGATATTCTGGGACAATGTCCTCCAGTGAGACCATATGAGCTTTGATCTGGGTGAAGGTCCCCTGGCCAGGCACCTTGAAGGCATGTAGCTCGTGGCATGGATAAACAGCTGCATGTTGGTGGCTGACAGTGACACAGCTGCCACTACTGGGCAGAGCTCCCTCCTTTAAATTTAACCACCACCGTTTAACCCCAGCACAGAGAGGCAGGGACTGTGGCTTAAAGGCTAGGCTGGGCTACAAAACGAGCTTCTGTTTCAAAAGGGCCAACTTTGGAACCAAACGAAACAGAAAGGCTCTCATTCTGGGGCAAGGGATGTAACTCGGTGGTAGAGCTCTTGCCTAGCATACTGGACACCCTATAAATCATCAAAGTGTAGCAGAAGGGACTAGGCATTGTAGATCACACCTTTAATCTAGTGTGGGGAAGCAGAGGCAGCCAGATCGTTGTGACTTACAGGTTTCCTTCCTTCCTTCTTTTCTCTTCTTTGCGTTCGTTCTTTTCTTTTCTTTTTCTTTTCTTTTTTTTTTTTTTTTGAGACAGGGTTTCTCTGTGTAGCCCTGACTGTCCTGGAACTCGCTCTGTAGACCACGCTGGTCTGGAACTCAGATGAGCTTCAGCTAAAATTTCCTCTGCCAGGCCCTATCAGCACCTTAGCCTTCCTTTGTAGATCCCACGCTATCTCCATTTCAGCACCAAGATGGGTCCTTTTGTGATGGGCAGTTTTTAACTGTCACCTTAATACAAACTAGAATCACCAGAGAAGACTGAGGAATTATCTGTATCAGGTTGGCCTGTGGACATGTTTGTGGAAGACAGTCTCAGTTATAAATTGATGTGGGAAGGCCTAGCCCACTGTGGGAGGCACCATTCCCTATTAGGGGCTTCTGAAGAGCGAAAGCTAGCAAGCAGGCTGCATGATTTTCCTCTCCCTCCTCTTGATTGATGACATGGTTTAGCTGCCTCGAGCTCCTGCCACTGTGACATTTTTGCTATGAAGGGCTCTAACCTAGAGTTGTAACCCAAATTATCCCTTTCTCCCCTAAGGGTTTTTTTTTAATTGGGAGGGGGAGGAGCAGAGTTTTTATCACAACAACAAAAAAGAAACAAGGCTTTGTGTGGCTCAGTCATCTAATGTTGGCGAGTCTAATGTAACATTAGATAATGTCTGACGTATTACAATGTAACACCCATACTGTATTTCTACCTGACTGTAGCGAGAGATCTAACTAGGCACCTGTGGCACTGGCCACGCCCGTTTGGGCGTGGTCACAGGACCGTACAGGAGAGGAGGACTTAGGTTGGCTCTGGGAGGGGCTGCTTTTCTTTCTGGCAGCTGGCTCTGTGAAGAAGAGCCTGGGAGGATCCTTGGAGCTGGACCTGGGGCAGCCATCCAAGTCTCATGTGAAGTGTTATTACTCTGAATAAACCTTTTAACCTGTACTGGGTCTAGCGAATCTTGATTCCCATGCATGACACCTGACTGTATTGGTGTTTTCCTCTTTTCCCCTCTTCATTTTCTGGTGCTGTATATCAAACCCAGGACCTTATGTTAGTGAAGCCTCTGGCTTTTGGAGAATTGTCTCACTATATAGCCCAAAACTTGCTATCCTCCAGAGGCGCCTGACTCCCCAGTCCTGGAATGACAAATGTGCACTCCACACCCAGACCTTCCTTATTCTTTCTGTTTGCTTTCTCATTCTTAAATCTTTAATCTGATTTTAAAAATGAAACAAACCTGCTCCTCTCTGATCTTTTCTTCTGTGTAGGCTCTGGACCAATTATTAGGAAAGGCCCTGGTACAAGCTCATCTACTATGCTGAGACTGTGGGGTCAGCACCCGGGGACACTTCCTCTAAGACAATGCACAGCTGCTCTGCTGTCTCAAAACCAAATGGCTGGGCAGTGGTACCTCATGCCTTTAATCCAGGAGGCAGAGGCAGGAGGATCTTGTGAATTGGAGGCCAGCCTGATCTACAGATGAGTTTCCAGGACAGCCTGATCTACACAGAGAAACCCTGTCTCAAAAAACCAAAACAGCCAGGCGCTGGTGGCACATACCTTTAGTCCCAGCACTCGGGAGGCAGAGGCAGGCGGATCTCTGTGAGTTCGAGGCCAGCCTGGTCTACAGAGTGAGTTCCAGGACAGCCTCCAAAACAATACAGAGAAACCCTGTCTCAAAAAACAAAACAAACAAACAAACAAAAAACCAAACCAAAATATACATAGAAAACTGTCAGCCACTGAAGGCTTCTTCGGCGTCACAGAATAGGGAGACAAAGTGTTGGTTGTTCAGTCTCCCTCTGGAACACTGATGATAATGACAGATTTTCCCCACACCCAATGAAGTTAGGTTGGGGATTCAGCAACATTCAAACCAAAGCACACTCAAAGTCACTAGCAGGGAAAAGAAACGGCCCAGCCCTGCAGGCCTGTCACCCTCCTGGTTTGTACACAAACTCGTGCTG